CAGTTGAGCTGTCACCAGAGCCTTGGACGGCAGACTTTCGAACGACTGTTAAGCTTAAAAGATCTATCTTTAAGTACTGAAATTTATCATGAACAGAAGGCATCCACCATTTGCTTGATAACACGCGACCCCAGTAAGGTTCATGGTCAGCATGGAAGGTTGATGCTGTCATTGCACTGTTAGGCAATGCATTCTTGATGGCTGAACTGACACCGATCAGTCCTTCAAGGCACTCTAATAAATTGCAAAGTCACAAAATTTCAATAAGAGCAAATATGTCTGCAGAGTATGGCAGAACTCGACAAGATCTTACACATGCAAGGCCATTTTTAGGCCCTTATTACATATATATTGTTAAAAAAAACTCACGCGTGTACCTGCCATACTCTGCAGACTGGACAATGACTAAACAACATAAATAAGCCCCCCAAAATGATCAGTTTTCACTACCCTAAATATTTTACCGACAAAGACTTGAAAAATACAAACATCATCAAGTTCGACAGAAGAATAAAAACACTGAAGTTACCTCAACTCCAGCAAGGATTTGCAAAATATAAGCTTAAGCTTAAAGTTTTACGCCAAAATGGTGGTGGTGATAGTTGTTCACGGTACCGGTACTGTTAGTTATCTTAGAAAAGGCTTAATTAATAAAAAGTGCTAACGCCAATAGACGTTGTACTTATTTTATTTAGGTGACTTTCATATATAGCCTCACAACTTGGCTTTTTCCTGAGATTACGAAAACTTGTGCAAGAGTGTTGTGAAATTCAAGTAAAAGGCGAATTACTTTCGTTTAAAGAATTCGTTTGCTCCCGTCTTTGCTTTGCAAAAAATAACAAACGGTCTAATAAACTACAGTATATTGGGAAACTTTTCATTCAATTTGTTTCAGAACACTGAAACTCGCTTAAGCTTAAGTGGAGTTTCGGTATGGCTCAATTTTTACTTACAAGGTACAAAACGTTAAAACTTACTCCCGTCGTCCCTCAACAGAACATTGACACCAAGTAGAGTATTTCTGAATTCGGACATAATGTCAAATCCACGTGCACCAAAACTAAGCAACATCACAGATATTATGGCAATGGCGATTTCAGCCATGTTTGGCCATTTTCCAGCCATTTCCTGAACTTTTCACGATCAAAACCTCTCACGCCATTGTTGGCGCGTGAGACAGAGCTGAACCACGTCTGCGCATGTGCAAACATGGGGAGGTCCTAAGCTAGTATGGTTTTGAAAAGGATTTTCAAAACATCCTCACATTTTGCCGATTTTCAAGGTGGTTTCCTAATATTTAAGGCTCCCATTTAAATTGAAGGTAGATTATTTCATATTTTGTTGAATTCTCGTTTCCGTCTTCGTAATTTTTCTTCCGTTTTTCGCTATGAACAAATGAAGATCCACGTATACGAAACAGAAGAGAGAGCGCTTACCATTTGTATGGAATACCTGGTAATAAATTCCAGGGAGAATTCAAATAGAACGGTTCATTTCGGTGGAAATTTTCCGAAACCCAGTGATAACGTTCGCGGTATTGACCGCTTACCATTTGTACAGAAATTTCGGTGAAAAATTTCCGTCAAATGGTTCTCGTATTTCTGTTTTTGTCACTGAAAACAGGAACGGGATTAAAATACCGGTAAATTTTCCACTTTCTCTCCTCATGAATTCTGGCACTGGCAATCCAAAAGAATGGTACAGAAAATTTCGGTCATTTCAGTAAGAACGGGAAAAAGGTAATACCTCGAAAGGTATTACTTTTTTCCGGAACATTTCCACTGGGATGAACCGTTCCATTTGAATTGTCCCTGGAATTTCCGGGTTTTCCACACAAATGGTGGGCGCGATCCATTCAACCAAAATTTCCGGAAAGTTCGGTCCAAAACTCAACGGATCGGTTCGGTCCAACCGGAAAAGTTTCGAAAAAACGGGTCCACCTTTTGAGGTGGACCACTTTTCCCAGTCGGATCGGTTGGAATTTTGGTTGAATGGATCGCGCCCTGTATTAAAGCGCTCCTTTCCAGGCACGCAAATATCAAAAGGGAAAGACCCGCCTATGATGTAACTGTATTTTTGATGCCTTGAGTAAACAAAACAATACATTCCGGAGGCTTCATTTTTGAGTTCGTAAAATGTCCGGTGTTCAGATAAACGCGTAGCTTTCAGAAGATTTTCTTCCTCGGGAAATTTGCCACCCCCCCCCCCCTCCCCCCGTCATTTCTTCCAGCTCTTGAAGTTATTTGCACCAAAGAAGGTCGTGATTGTTGTTGAGCGCCATCGCCATCGCCATCGCCATCGCCATCGCTGTATGCAAATTGTGTGCCAAATCGTGTGTCGAATTGTCTGCTCGCGGTCCGGTTTGCGGCGCCGCCATGCGAAAAATCTGCTCGTTGTAGCCACCTCGGCAAGCGGTGCCTTCTCGGAATGTTTTTTGTTTCTCTCAGGTTTGCTGTTTTGAAAAGGAATTTCTATGACACTCGCGTCGCCGTTTTGTCGGCTGTGGTGACGAATCTACCTTCGCTCTCGGGGTGTTTTGTGGTTTCTCTCGGGGGCCGATCAATCGAACCAAACTCCAATGCAAAATTTCTCTTATACTCATCTACTATGATTACTGTTTAGGTACAGTAGTGGGCACTGGCTCGGGACATTTTGGGCAGTCTTACACCAAGTAGTACCCCAGCGGTCTGACTTTTGACCGCTGTCTACAATGCCGCTCCACGAAAGTTAGTAAAGAAGATAGCGATTCTGTCCACACCCTGTGCCGGCGGCTCCAGCTGAGGGCCCGGGACAGGGTATAACAGAACCGCTATCTTCTATACTACTGCAGCAGAAACATCGCTATTATTAAAAGTGAATTCGCATTTTCTACACTTCGTCACGATTATTCCAACTCGTGGTGTATTTTCCAGGAATTGAATTCTTAGGTATCGCACCCAAGTTTTGAAAGGGGGACGGAAAGATTCGTCTGTTTTGTTTACGTCCTCTATAAGATGTCGCATGGCGAAATCCTGGGTCACTTTCTGTGGGACCCAGGTGCCATGAATATGCTAATAAGCAGACAAAGAAATCGATTTTGTTACTTAAATTGCCTGTAACAATGATCTCTGGCCAAAAAAACTGGTTGCATGATAAATAAATGACATTTTCTGCTGCAAAACTAGAAAAAAGTGCAAATTATGCGAGCAGTGCTTTTTTCGAAAAATAAATGAAAATTATGCCCGTAATGACAAATAATGTCAAAAGTTATGCTAGCACAATCGATAAGGGCCTGGCCTATGAGAACCTGTTTAAAGACCCTTTGTCACTTTCCATGATGCATCGCGAGCATTTTAGAATTTTGTGGTCCACGAACAACCTCGTTCTCAAGATCCTTTCCTACTAGTCAGGTCTGGTTTGGTCACGTGTCTTCTAGATTTTAGTAGATGACAGGCAAACAGTCAGAAGGAGGGGCTGAAAAGTAGACTACTTGACCCCACTGTTCCTGGGCGAGAAAGTAAATCGTTGCAAATAGAATTGACTTCGTGGCAAAAATACTGTCACAGTTTGAGGTCAAATGTGGAATGGAAATCTACCACAGTGGTCACAATACTGTAACAATAAACAGATTATTAAGGTTACATTTGTATTTTCAGGTCTTAGTCAAATGTAAACTACGTCATGTGCCCACTGATTATGTCTCACAGGTCTGACGAAGAAAACTGTGTGGTTTGTACTTGTGGAAAACCTGCTTTTAAACTGACTGTGAAGAAAGATGAACCTAATAAAGGTAAGGCTAAAGAAGCCCACTTCAACCTTGTGCAATTGAAAATTGTGCGGAGCACTTACATAATGCCTACATGACATACCTATTGACTGGACCGGTCATCTTGAAAGACGTAGTACGATCCTTAACCCAAAATAACTTAATAAAACCGTTAAGTGGCCTTTTGCCCCCAGTAGGCAAAGACCATCCTCTTTGTATTTTTTTCGTTTAACGTCAAATGCGTTTTCTGATTTTGTATCGGTCGATCGGATGAAAAGAAAAGGTTGAAAAAAAAGTCCCAAGAAGTTTGAGAATAGAAGACCAGAAACCCCAACGTCACTGCTATAACGCCTGGGAAACAACAAGACATGATCACCAAATCGATACAAACTCAATATGGCGGAAAACAGGATGGTCGATGTCACAGTAAAGAAGAAGTTTAATTTGACTCAAATAATATATATAATATATCTTGGTTATGTCTTAGTGAAACTGTAAACTTGCGTCTTGCACTTGACATAATAGCAGTTTGATAGCAACAGTGACAAGAAGTGCTTGGATTAGCCTTCCTTGTTTCAGTTCATCTTGTCCGCTGTTCATCTTAAGTGCTGCAGTCTTTACAACAGTTCTCTTTTCTTGCCTTGTAAATGCCGCATTACACTCCTCATCTTCTTTTGAACACTGCTCTTTTCCTGCAAAGAAGATTCAGTCCTGTCAACTGTCCACTTTTTTAACAATACCAAAACACACTGCTCTTCACAAGATTATCAAACGTGAATTTTTTAATCGCAGACCGCGAATTCAAATCCCAGACACTCTGGTAATACGTGTTCATTTCAACAATGCAGATGAAACCTAAATACTTCATCATTTTTGCAAAGTGAAAGCAACTCATGGGTACGATCTGTTACTCTACGTATTTTCCACACGCTAAGTGTGCCTGATGAACACACTATAGAGATGACTAAGAAAAGGAATTTTAGAAAATCGGAACAAGACACCTACTTCACATATAAATTTGCCTAAGCACGGTTTTTTACACAAGTCTTTCTATAACTCGTAGAAATGTGATGGTAAGACCAAAGAAAAGAAGTAGTGGTGGCGCAATCACGGCCGTTTTTGCATCTATTGCGCACATTTTCCAAGAAACGTCTTTGGAAATTTTATTGTCAAACACAGAGCCAAGAATCTTTGCTTAAGGAGACAATACAAAATTGTCGTCTAATTGTTTCTCGTAAACCTCTGAGACTTTTTATCAATGTAAAGAGCTAACATCTAACTTACTTGAACAGTAGAAACCATCTCCGTAAAATCCCTTCTTACAAACACAGAGATAAGAGCCATCAGTGTTGTAGCAGTCAGCCCAGTGATGGCACTCAGCGAAATTCTGCTGACACTCGTTTACATCTGTTGAATAAACAGTTAGAAAACCAAAGTTTTCTGGTTCAAGAGTGGAAGCTGATAATGCAGGGGTGATGATCCCATGTGAATGTGAATGTTATGTACAATTACAATTGCACAGTTCAGGACGTTCAATTTTTGCAGTATCATCGATAACTATAAAACCATCAGACTTGGCATGGTTTCAGAAATGGCTATTTCTACTAAGTTTATGTTAGTTTCACGTTAATCCCCCCGTAAATCACGCAAAATGCAATGATTTGCTAGTTTCTCGCAAGAAAAAACAAAGTTCTTTGTCTCGAATGTCTAAAATAGCACTTCCGCTAAAATAATGGAGCTGGCTACTACTAAATGAATAATTGTTAAATTTCATGCAAGCATAACATCTGAGAAGGTCGCTTACGATAAGTTACAGTTACAATAATTTTGACAGGAAAAATCGAGTTTCGTGTTTGGAATAGGTGTTCTTTAATACGTTAAGGTTTGACTGTATTTCTTGGCGTACATGCTAAGTACCAACTGCAGTTTGACCTTACACAGTGTCTGAGAAGAATATGTTAGTAGTTACCATGACACGAATTATCCGTGAGGTGATAACCCAGTTTACACTGACAAGCATATGAACCAGGCAGGTTAACACACAGCGAATCCTGTTCACACGCTTCAGGATCTGTAGCACATTCGTCCAAGTCTAGAAATTAAAACCAACAAAAACAAAGAGAACAGAACAAAAAAAAAATTCAATGAATTAACTGTCCATCCTTATGTGCTCGGAAAGTTACAGAACCTCAGTTCTAACAAATTTTTCTTTTGGTTACATCTATTTTTTTGATCAACCATTGAATTTGAAAGGAATCCTTAGTAAGTGACCTGCCATTAAAGGAGCTGCGTCACCAAATTCATCAAAATACAAGGAGTGGGAAAAGCTGCCAACAAATTTAGTAAAACATAAAAATTAACCGTTTTGTACGTCAAAAGACGTTATCAATGATACAGCAAATACAAAAAGAGACAAGGATGGGCAAGTTTTAAACGGATTGCAATTGCGGTTAGCCTATTGGTTGTTCAAAGATCATTTTTGTTGTCTGAAATGCTTGCTTGGGAGACACATTTGTTTGCACGAAGCTGAGATTTTATCGTTTACGAGTAATGCGTTCACTGACGTTAAGTTTCTTAACAAATAAGGACACGTTATTGGCAATGTTAACAAAAAGTCCTTGACAGCCGTGACGCAACTGGTTTAAGTCTAAAAGTAGAGCAGGCGCCGTTAAATGACTGCACTCGTCTTACACTTGTATCAAAATTGAAAGGGAGAAAACTACAGGAAAGACGTTTGTTGAAAAATTAGTGTAATACCGTGTACCCTCCATTTAGCCTCCTTCTGATTTTTCCATGCTTCTGAACTAGGGCGTTATTAGAAGGGCGTCTAACTATAGGAAGTAGGTTATACCTCTTCAGTCAAAACATTGTCTCGTGTGAAACACTTAGTTGGTCTCAGGTGGAAGAGGCCAAAAAATTTAAATAATGACCTAAATAGCGTATCTTCTCTTATGGCAGTCGTAGTGTATCTAGGATTTAACTTGGCCCTCAGAGGTGATTTATGAAAACATTTTTCAAGTAATACCTTGACACTTTGAGCCTTTGGCTGCAAATCCGTCTTTACAGAGACAAAAGTACGATCCTGCAGTGTTCACACACATGCCATTACTGCCACACTGTTTAGGTTTTACCTTGCATTCATCAACGTCTACAAGACAAAACGTAAAATCATAAAGTTAAAGGTAAAGTTTATTTAGGGGGACTATCAAAAGCAGAGCATTTTTGGTCTGATAAATTCTAATTTAATGTACAGGTCTTTTGAAGAACGAACATTTATTACGTTAACATAAACAACGTATTTCTAGCGGGTGGTGGGTGATAAAACAGGATTCAAATAGGACTGTGACTGGAGTATAGTTTCAGCTTCTTTCCGTGGCAGTTAGGTCAGTAGTACGTTATGGCTAGTACTGTTTGTAGCTTCAAGCAGCTGTAGTAAAATTATGAGTGATGAAAAAGTAATAAAAGAAAAGAATCAAACAACTTGAACGGTACTAGGAGGCAGCTTGGCCGAGTAGTCAGTGGAGCTGATTTGCAATGAAATCAAGGTTCGAAGTCCCGCTCTCATCGTTAGGTAGATTTTGTCGTTGATCCTTGGTTTAAAAGTTTGTTTCTCTGCCAGTCAATGAAATTACAAGCGATACTGCATTTATATAACAGTAGAAACCCGCGTGTAAGAACCTTGTGGTTTAAAAATTGCTGGCAACATAAGCCAAACAAGATCAAGAGGGCTTTTATATGTGGGTTACAGTAAAATCACGATAATTTTAAATTACGATAATTTTTAGCGGAGCTCCTCGCGCGCGCGAAGCGCGCGCAGAGCGGAGCACCATGGGTAAGAAAAGTTGGTAAACTATCCATCTGAAGAAAATTTGGTTATGACGTAGCGTACGCCCGCCCTCCCACCCGTACACACGCTTCATGTAAGCCGATGTCAAATGTCTCAATAGATCTTGCACAACTCGACTAGCCTCTTAGTTATGTAACCCATCCGTATGAGTACGATTAGATTGACAGCTGCCAAAATTAGGCATCGCTGACAATTATCACATGACTATCTCGCGGGCTCAGATGAAAGACCAGTCGTTTTGCCCCTACATATAAGCTGATATAATATGTCACACTTACCAGTTCAACATAAAAACAAAACTACGCCGGGCAAGGCTGTCAGTTGGCTGACAGTCGTTTAAAGATATATTGGCAAGCCAAATTAAGGTCAATTGACAGCTGTCAAAATGGGACATGTGCAGACCACTATCAGAAAACTAATAACGTGGGCTCAGGCTCGCTCATGTACACGATCTGGCATTTTCCACTATATGCCGGACGGATATGTCTTACTCACACTCGTAGTCTGTTAATTCGAATATTCGCCATTCTAATGAAGGTTAATTGACAGCTGTCAAACTAGAGTATACGCTGACCATCATCACCTGAGTGTATCGCGGGCTCATTTGTCTATCCATTGAGGTCACGTAGTGTTTAAAGTTTTGCGCTGATATTTTATTTGATCACGGGCTCAATTCGAAGTCCCATAGCTTAGAAAATCGATCCATCTTAGAAAATTCGGCAATCACGTGACCATACACCGACCACCCGACCTTCCGTCCGTCCGCACCACAGGTATACCAATGTTTAATCTCACACTTTCTAGCTAGTTTGGGAGCCTGCAACCTGATATTGTACATCCATGTTTTGATTAATTGACAGCTGTCAAAATAGTGTTTCTGCTGACCACTATCGCCTGACCCTATCGCGGGCTCAGGTATCGACCCACTGAGTTCGAGTGTTTTTTTAACGTATCCGCTGACAGGTTGCTACTTTTCAATTATCGCAGGCTCAAGTTCAATTTTTTTAAAAAGCATATGAAATAAGTCGAGTTCATGAGCCGCACTTTTAAAATGTTGATTTCGAACTGACCTCGGACGCGAAAATTCAACCGGCTTTTACATTTACATGCGGGGAAGGCAATCACTTTTGACTTTTCTCACTGTCACGCGTTGATCACGCTCTACGTCCAATTTTTATGTTCTGATTGGTCAAAATTTGACAGGTGAGTTCATGCGGAAAATTTATGCAGCGTCTGGAAACTTGCTTACTGATAGCTGGAGCTTACAGAGTTTTGTGTCATCTTGTGATGTTTTAAACTGGCTTTTTCTACTTGGTGTACAAAATGAAATACAGCTGCTATCAAGATTGTTCTGTAATTCATGGCTGGTTTGTTTATTGCGCTTTTTGTTGACAAATGCACCGCTTGTCAAAGTCATTGGAAATCCGATTTCGGATGGCATCGTTTTCAAAAATGAGCTTACTCACTTGCCCTTGCTTGAGGCGTAAGAGGGTTGAAAATTCTGGAACACTTGATGACCTTCAGAAGCAGCATCTCGACTGGTAAGCCTGAGAAATTGTTGTCTTTGATGTGTTTTTTTTTTTGGTTTCCTGAAGTCGAGCGTATGGTTTATGCGGCTTAAGTTTATACACGAGCAATGATCTAACCTACAATAGTATCAGGTTTAAAAAGCCTTTAGACATTTTTTGACCGCAAATTCAAAGAAAATGTTCCGAAGATTATTTACTTATGATTTTGGCTGTAAACAGAAAGCTCTGAGCGATTTTCTTGCCTCGAGTTCATCTTGAAAAAGAGCAAACACCGGGAAGCCGGCTTAAAACATAAATAAGCTTATGCTTACCTGACTCATGATTTTCAGAGACACTTTACTCTCAATACTTCTCTTCGTGAATGAAAATTATTGTCTCTGTACATGTTTCACCGAATTATATTTATTTTATTGATTGTTAGTAGTCCCTCTCGCAATTTTTATCGCTGCACCGGTTGTATCCAGTCGAACATAAACATCTCATGCAGGAATACTCAAAACGCCGCGCGTAAATATCACTCGCTTTTAAAGATTACACATAACAAAACCATACGCAGTTTAATAAATAAAGGGAAATAAAACCTAAACATAACAATTTATCTATCATGTTGAAGCGTAAATGGTAACTCTATTAATCGCACTGCAAATTTGGTGCCTGTCAAAAGTGAGCCCCGTCCGGCTGGCCGAAAAGTGATTTTGGGAATTTGTTTATCGTTTTCATTAAAAGCCCATATTACCCTGCATATCACATAGGACCAGATTTTTCTAACTGAAAGTCTTAGCATTATAGAATTCTCTTCATGAAAACGTTTTATAATTCAATGCTATAATTTGTTGTGCAAAGGAAGGGCGTGCTTTGATCGTCGTGGATATTGAATGAGTGCAAATTCTCTTGCAAAATTGTGAAAAACTGCAGAATTATAGGTTTAAATAGGGCAAAAAAAAACAAATTCTGTCCGAGGTCTGTATGATAAAAACAAGGGCCTCATAGTACTGTTTACCTGAGACGTGATGAGAAAAAGTATGTTTAAAAGGCTGGTTTACACACCACCAGATTCGTCGCCAAGATTTACTAGTAAACTAAACTTGTCGAACACAAAAAATCCGGCCTGTTTTTTTATTTTGGCCTCTCTTTTAGACAGAGGAATGCAACGTGTAAATTGGCTGCCACCAAGGACTATCGTGGCGCGTGTGTTTCTTAAAATTATATTTCGGGGTTGTCCAATTATCCATAGTCTCTCAAACGGAGCAATGTTGGAGAGAGTGGTGAATGCCACATTATGATGCAACAGCTAATGCAAATACAATACACGAATAGGTAGGTCTATTTGTTTTCCAGGCCTAATCTACTGTGATCGAACATGATTGCTATTTTTGGGTGTACAAATAAGACTATTTAATAACTCGATGTAAAAGCTGTTTCACTCTTGGACTGTCAAATTATTTTTCTCTAAAATCACTTAGCCTTTGCCTCAAACGTCAAATGAATGTGCCCTGATCTGTGGATTACAAGTTTATTGTTTGATTTAAATTATGAATTTATTAACGGGAGCTTCGCTTTTAGCCCTGGCTAAATCTATATATTAGTTGTCTTCATGGACTTTGTATAAAGGAGGTATGAAATGTGCGGTTGCGTATATATGAATACTGTAAGTTTAAGCACCAAACCTAAGTTTATTTACTTTTTTTGGTGGTCAAGAAGTATATCTCCTTCATAGAAATTAAGAAAATTCCCTCGTTTTGCACTGCGCATCAACTACTGTGCAAACATTGCGACTTTAAAGGTGGCGGTGATGTTCACCGATCGCCTAAAAATAGGTAACAAAGGCTCCTTTTGTAGTCCTAATGCTTTTAATAGCAATTTTGATAACTCTACCGTTTGTCTTGAAGCTCGCATAAGTCCCTTCGCGCAAAATGATCATTTGAGGCCGAAATTGTCTCCCTGTTGTCATTTTGCGATGAAACCAGAACGGTGACCCCCTTTTTTATTTGTGGTTTTTACTCATTAGGAGTACCCCAAAATTTTATCTACAGGAGAAAGAAAACCTGGGTAGCACAAGTTGTAAATTTTCAGATATGAAGGACGGAATGCACCAGCTAGCACCTAATAAAATGTCCCCCCATTAGAGACAGACTTCTCTAGCTTTGCGGGCAAGTCGATATGAGACAGCCCTGGATACAACATTTTATGAAAGTCACATACAAAAAGGCATAAGTGACACACCTACACACTGTAGTTTCCCATCCAGTGAATACCATTCTGTAAATCCCACATTACAGAAACAAGCATATGAACCAAAAGCATTTACACAGGTGGAGTTCTCCCCACAATTATGGCTGCCGATCTTGCATTCATCAATGTCTAAATGGTGAGAAAAGAAAAAAAAAATGCACCTACTGCATTAGGTCTTCTTGACAAATAAGACGGACATATATACAACAAGGCAGTATAAAAGTGGGAGAAGCCAATTTCTCCCTCTGTTGGTGACAGCGGTGACGTAGTCTGCACATATACAGTGGAATCCCGATTTATCGAACCCCAAGGGAAACGGAAATTGATTAATAATCGGGAGTTCGAAATATCGAAGGTGGCGTCGAATCACACTTTCTTTTCCTCTCGGATAAGGACGTCTCGCAACCATGGCTCTTATAAAAAAAATCTGTCGGCCCGTTTAAAGAACCAAAACAATGTTCGTAAAGAGAGTCTGGTCCTATCACCACGTGTAATATATGTTGTTGCTTTAACATTTTGCCAATACTAGGTTTACCTAAACATTGTTTTCCATCTGCTTTGAAGCCTGCCTCTTTACAGTCACAGATATATGAACCCACTGTGTTAATGCACTCTGTTAAGTATGGGCATACATCTCTTGGTTTGGCACATTCATCAATATCTGAAATAACATAAATATTATGCATTAATGACGCTGTATGGAGTGGGGGTAGTTCTATCATTACTCAAAGCTTCTGTTAACTATTTCTGAAATTGGATCTTTTACACCACTAGTTGATTAAAAAACCTCAGACTGAAAACACTTACCACCCCTCAGGTTTTAATGACATTCATTACTTGAATGCATATTTGTCATCTTTAGTTCAATTAGTACCTTTACATTCGTTCCCATTTCGAGTTGTTCCTGGTTGACACTCACAGACGAATGATCCATCGTTATTTTTGCACAGTTGGTGCGGCGATCCACAAACATTGTCGCCAACGCTACATTCGTCTACATCTATGGAATTGGAAGAAAATTAGGAAAAAATGACTGAAGGTTCTTTTTACAAACATCTTGCTGACAGAGTAAAAGACTCGGACGTAACCAGCAAACCCAAGTTCAAGAACAAAGACGAAGTGCTTGGACGAAAAAATTCAACAACAACAATAAAGGATGAGCTTCAAGAATTTTGGAGGCCGATGTGGGAGACCTCGAGTGCAAAAGCTCAGCAGGAGGACATGGAGGCAGCTTTGAAACAACATGCCGTATTTCCTCGAATAATAATATTTCTCTTTTTCGCACAAAAAGGGGACGATTATTCGAGGGAAGGCGATTATTTCAAATATTACTTACTGGAAGTCGTGCCCATTAAATGAAAAAAATAATCACATTAAATAAAACGAACATGGACTTTCAAAACCTTTTTTCCAAATTTAGTACCTTCATTAATTTTTAGAGCTTGAATAGTCACTGATCAGTTTTTCTGGATCACATTGTACGCGAGAGGGGCGGGGGGGGGGCGATTAATCGAGGGACGGCTGTTATTCGAGGAAATACGGGTATAGAAGAAGCATTGCATGAAAGATAAAGGGCGTATACCCGTCCCCGTTGTTATCAGATCGAGAGCACCGGATACTTCTCCGAAGAGACCGGAAGAGTACCTGAGAAAAACAAATGATGGGACAGTCGTTCTTGGAAAAGCGAGATCCTCCAAAGAGTCCTAGAAGTCTAAGGTAACTTGTTGCCACCTGATGATGGCACTAAAATTTCCAGCATTACCACATCTGTCGTGAAGCATGCACAGTAATAATAACAATAATAATAATAGTAATAATAATAATAATAATAATAATAACAATAATAACATTATGGTTGGGATATTTACTCTGTTTTCTAATTAAGGAATACATTAAAGCTGATCACGTCATAGTCTTCTATCTTTATCTTTTTTTCTGTAAGCAATATTTATTACAACATTTGCTCTAAGAGCCTAAAGGGCTCATCTAGAGCTTACGATGTTTACATTGAATTGGAGTGTCAAGAAATATTTCCTTAAACATTACGGGGCTCAAATCTCCTTTTAATTCATAACAGGTAAGTTGAGCCCTTAAATGCGTAAGGGAAGGATTTAACAACAATTTAAAATTTAGAATTTACAAGGATTTGTATGAAATCCACGCAAGCGTGACTGGGTGGCAAAAGTTGTTATCTCATACAAATGCTTCTAACTTTCGGCGGCCGTTACAATCGCTACTTTCGAGGTACACGGCTGAAATTTCTCAGGTTACTTAATTTTAATATGCTCTTTTAGCTTGTGTTAACAAATTTTTCAAAAGTGAACTGTTTTTGTGTTTACCGAAAGTTGATCACGTGATCACAGTCATGCAAAGAGCCTATTGGCTAAAACTCAACGTTAAGAGTTCGAATGTTTTGAGGATAATTATTCTCTGACTATCAGCAGTCAGGGATGTCGGATTAACACAAGGAAGATTAATATACCAAAACAACATAGTCTTTACAGAGCTTTAAAACACAGGATCAGCCGACACAAACTTGACTTGGCTGAACACAGTTTTGCGGGTGGTCAGCGGTAACTCGCGTGACGGAGAGTGGTTTAGACAAACAAACATGGCGGCGAAAAAGCAATGGTAAACAGAAGACGATTTCTCAAAATCTAATCATTAAAATTTTGTGATATTTGGAGGAATTTTTACTTTTATCGTGTTTTAGATAATGAGAACTTTAAAATGGAAGTTGAACAGACGTTTTTTTTTTTGACGCATTTAATAATTACAGTACAATTATATTACTGATTATCTAAAAACCCCTTGTTAAAATTTGGTCAAATAAGTTTCAAATGGAAATGATTAATTATAGTAAGCTATGTGCAAGTTTATAGGAAAATCTAATGAGGGAATTTTCTATAAACTGAGCAAAAGTGAAATTTTAAGGTTGTATTCAATCGTTCGTGTTGCCATGGAAACTACGAAAATGCCAAATTTTACCTGTCAATCAAAATCTTTCATCAGTATATTTTTCACTTGCCAAGTTTCAGCTTTTGAGATGCAACCCTTCGCTTGCCATGATTTGGCAAATGACATGTACTCACAAACTGCCAAAATTGTGTTCAGCCACCTTAAGTAAAACTAAACAGCCTCTGCCAATAATAACAAACTCTCACTTGAACTTCAGATATCTTATGCATCAGTCAATTCCACCTGCGCCCAGCCCCCCCCCCGGGCTGACCCCCGGGTATTAGCATTTTTTTTGCCTTGGATGGCAAATTCCCGGGGGTGGGGACTCTTGAGCTGTCAAATTCCCCGGGGTGGGGATGAAAAAAGAGGGCAAATGCCCCGTCCTCCGTCAACACTGCAACAATTTTCATTGATCGCACAGTCAAATAGTGCCGTTTTAAGCATTTTAATGTGCGATTTTTTTGGTTTAATTAACGTCTTCCTTTGTAATAGCGCGAGGATTCTAATTAAGACTTCACGCCGCGACGACATGCACCAGTTTTAATATGGTTTTAGTATTGGTATAAAATTATTGACATTAAAATTAACAGAGCGCTGTAAAGTTATATGTTATGAATAGTTTTATAAATATGAAAGGATGTTCTTCAAATAATATCAACAGAAATTTGATTCAATAACCAAAAAACGTTGATTCACATCGATAGCTCCAATTTCGCTACGTAATTCTGGCTTGATAAGCAATGAAGAAATGCATACATACATTTAAAATCGAGAACACGCGTTTACAACCCTCTACAATTTATTTCTGTCCTTGACAAATGAGCCAATCTGCTTTTCTTCCAGTAAAACCTTATATTCTGATAGGAAACCGCGTGCGTGTCAAAAGCTCGGGATTGGCCCGGGGGTTGGCAAATGCCCGGCCCCCGGGCAGTGCAACATTTGCAAATGCCCCACCCCCGGGACTGACAAGGCGGGCAAATGCCCCGCAGTTGCCCGGGGGGGGGGCTGGGCGCAGGTGGAATTGACTGATGCATTATGGCTTCCGCCAACTTGTAAACACAGAACGTGAACATCGACGTTCGTCACACTTGACTAAACACAGCACTCCAGCTCGTGGGAAAAACTTTATTCGTCAAAAGAACTCGCTTGGAACTTGTATACCGTTTGACATAAGGTTCTAGAAATATTACACTTGAGAATAGTAGTAGCCTTTCGACATATTTTATGATTTCAGTAACTGATGCAAATCTGCTGACTCATGCTGAAATGTAAACACACCCTAGTTGATTATTCATAAATAATCCAAAAACGTAGAGGACGTTCGAGAAAGTCACGCAACGCATGAAAGCAATTTTACTAAGTAACACTCAACAAGGACAAAACGTCTTTGTGCAGCATTTTGTAACTTTAAAATCATCATACAACAGTTCGAAAGGAGCGCTCACTCGTGAAATGTTTTTCAACACTCGAAGAGAAACTTCTTGTCTCTACGCTGCCATGTAATATCCCCTATTTATTCCTCGAGTAAATTAAAGACTTAGCTCGATCTTAAGATATCACGAAGTATTCCGGTCTCATTTCGTGAAATAGCCGAAACAAGCCCAAAAGACACGAACTTGCGTGCCCAATGTTGTCCCGAAACTAGTGCAAAATTTTCATATCCCGAACTACCTTGGGTCGCAGTAGCGCAATCGGCTAATCCCTCAACTTAGAGTCTCCTCTCATCTTACGGGTCACACAGGTGAGTCGATTCAAACCCCGGGATAGCCTGCGAGCAAGCTCTCCTATTGGGCGAGTGAAACGAGTCTCGCGAGAACGCACGTTCTCGAGAGGCTCGCGTCGCTGGCTCAAATAGGAGAGCTTGCTCTCAGGCTAACCCCGGGAAAGCCAAAAAACAAATTCTTTCTTCCTCGAATAAGTTAAAGAATAAATCAAAGAAATCGAAGCGATCTCGAGACATCTCAAACTAATTCGGCTCAAACTTCGTCAAATAGCCGAATAAAAACCCAAAACCTACAGACTTAGCGTGCCCAATGTTGTCCCAAAAATGTCATCTTTGATACATTCCTGAACGTCGCGAATCCTTCACTTCGCGCTCCGCCGAAGTAATAAGCACTATGGCATCAAAGTGCAAGACAAATATTACGAGCATGGGCCATCGACCGTAACTGAAAACAACGCAGTGACTATACTTTGGGACATGCCAGTCCAGACAAACAAAGACATCAAGGCAAACAGGTCAGACGTAGCAGTGAAAGACAAGGGGAAGAGGACCTGCCTGCTCATTGCTATGTCTCTCCCAAATGAAAAAGAAACGTCTTTAAAAACAGTAGAAAAACCTTCGAAGTTTAAGGATCTCGAAGTAGAAATTGAGAAAACATGGAAACGAAACCACAAAAACTGTCCCAGTGGCCATTGGTGCTGTCAGGCTTGTCGAGAGGGGACTAAAAACAACATCAGCAATATCCCAGAACACATCGGAATAACAGAGCTTCAGAAGATTGTCCTCCTTTAGCCTCCCCCGCAGACATTCTTAGGCATGCGTCACGCGTTCCTTCTCGTGGGGAAGGAACGCGTGACGCACGCCTATAAGAATGTCTGCGGGGGAGGCTAGTCCTCCTTGGGAGTGCTCACATACTCAGGAGGTCAGTATCCATCAAGTAATCCAGGAGCCTTATGACTGCCCTAAGCTCGGTTTCATAAGAGGAAAGAGCACGACTCCTAAGAGAATTAATAAGAAAACGAGGACAAAAGAAAAACTTAGAAATGTTTCTTTAATCATACACTTTTAAAATAAAGAAAACCGCAAAATTTTTTGTACATATTCTTATTTTTTAGCAATAATTAATTTTCCAGAAATAACCAGCTGAACGTTTTCTATCTATTAACGCATCGCTTAAGGTATTCAATCATTTATCGGTTATAAGCGATGATCGCCACATCACTAACGGGGATTTTACCCTGCTCTGAAACTTGACACAACAATTTGTAACTGTTTCAATGTACTCATAGCCTAACCTGTGTAGCTGGCGGTTTTTGTGGTGTGATTGTTGTTTTTGGTTCGCGCGGTCAAACAAGAAAGCGATGGGGGAGGGGGCGAGGGGGAGAGAGAGAGAGAAAAAAAAAAACCGCCTGCATTCAACCCCTTGAGATGTTTGAAACGCCCTAGGCCTTTGTACATTATGCTTTTATTTCCCCACTAAAATGCTCCACCTTAATGCTCCATTTTTTCCCACTAAAATGCTCGATAGTGCTCAACTTAGAGAGAGCATTTTTAGAAATTCTAAACGTTTTAAGGGGCGGGATTGAAGACTAACAAAAATGTATAAGTAGAGCTTTAGTAGTCATTTCCCTTCAAAATTGTTTCACTGTTATATTTTCTGTGAGAAAAAATACCTAATTTTCCGGAAAAATACCACTTAAATGCTCGAATAATGCTTAATGATTTCGCCTCACTAAATTGCTCAAAAACATGCTGGCATAATGTACAAAGGCCTAAAACGCCCCTTCCAGTCTTGTGAGAGGAGGGGTTGAATGCAGGCGGTTTTTCTTAGTGTCTACTCGCCCTCCCACCCTCCCCCATCGTTTTCTGGTTTGACATCGGCTCGGCTTTCGCGCTGCTGTATCTTTTACTTCAGGAATTACAAAAGAAAAAACACACGAAAAAGACTGCAAGCTACGCAGGCTACTCATAGCCATACCTGCACAATGAAAGCCATCTCCTACATAACCATCATAGCACCAGCATGTTGTAATATGAGGCGAAGACTTCGATCCCAACACCTTTCCATCCCATCCACACAAATCGTCTTCTTGGTACATTACATAGTCTAGTTTCACGAAAAAGCTTAGTTTAATGGTTATTGAAGCTTTCAGAAGGCAATTTTAAAAGGAACTTTGGGGGGGGGGCGGGGCAGGAAGTCCTTCTTAAGAAAAACTGACTGATCGTTCACTTCGATTTATTACTATCGCGCTTTAGCACAAACTTTACAAGCACAAAACTAGCTCAATCTCTTTGACAACGGCTTGATGCAGTTCCTTTTATCCTGACTGGTACGTGCGCTCTGAGCGAGTGGACGTGCGCTTTGAGCGAGTAGAGTTTGGTTGAAATTATCTTATAATTATGTCTGGAAAAGCGAACAACTCAGAAGTTAAAGCACTGCAACATCAGAATTATTCAATGATGAAAGAACGTCAAACTTTGAGTAACGAATTCAGCCGACTTCAAGAGTCTTTAAGATCACACGAGGCTGAAGCAAGCAAACATGGCGGCCAAAGTCAACCTGGACCAGATCCCGAAACTGCCAAGTCGTTACAGTTCGTTAGTCTTATTGCCGAAACTTGAACATTACGGAATCCGCGGAGTCCTTAATAACTGGTTTTCCTCCAAACTTCTCAGGTTGGTCCCCATGTTTCTAAGAAAGAGCGCTGTTCATCATCATAAACCACAGATTTTGTTAAAACCCCGCTATACTGTTTAAGAATGTGCCGCTGACCACCCCCAGTATGAATACGTCTGCAGGCTTGCAAACATTTGCAATTGAAACATTTGCAATTTTGTCGCCTCGGAGTCATGTTAGAATTTTGATATATCGAACGTGGGCTATTTAACAATTATTCCTCGAGCCCGAATGGGCTCTGAGTCGATAGCCCATGAGGCCGAAGGCCGAATGGGCTATTGACTCAGAGGCCATTCGGACTCCAGCAGCAATTGTTAATTAGTAAAATCCAACTAGTTGGTCAAAAATATCGAGACAAAACAACTTTAGCTAGTTAAAGCTAGACTTGAATCCTTTTCTGCCGCCAAAAAGCCGGCGCTTTTCGCTACTAGTGGACTATAACATATAGCCGAGTAGTAGCGCCAACCAATCAGAATACAGCATTGATAATAGACCACTAGATGGATTTTACTAATAATTATAAGACAGGTCACATTTAAGCACTTGTTTGGTTCATTTACATACACTAAATTTAGAGGAATCTCTATTTAGTTTAACGGGGCTATTTATCCTCTGAACTCTCTTGATTTAACAAAGCAAAAACAGTTCTATGTTTGGTTTTGCATTTAAAGGAGGGCCGTAAGTGAGAAAACCGTACAAGGTTATTACGTCTCCATAAGTTACTGTATTGTAAACTTACTCCCTGAGTTAAATCCATAAAATTCAACCCTGAGGCAACTCCTGTGATACCATGTGTCAACATGAAGGCGAACTCCTCTAGTGCCTATAGCTGAGGCAAATGGTAAATGATTTAACACCTCGACCCAAGGTGCGTCTAGGTTGCAGCCTTTGAAGACCTGTGGTATTTATTAAGTAAATATTTTTTATTTGATCATCATTGTTTCAGTTTTTAATTCATTCGATTTTTTGGAAATAAGTAACTGCCTGATCCATTTTTAATGATTTTATCACATGCTTAAGATGGCTCTGATATTAACACAGGCGCATTTAGCAACGGACGGAGCATGTAACGCCTTCTCAGCTTTAGTTTAGTGACGCATCACTTGATCTTTTAGATACGAAATATTTATTTTCACACGTGGAGACTGAACGGGAGACCACGGGCGAAATTTCCGAAAACATTTCGGTTGATACATCAAATGGAACGGACCATTTCGGTTTGGTCCGACCGGAATATTCGGGACCAGCTTTGAAAGTGGTCCACTATGAGGGGTCTGGTCATTTCGGTCTGTCGGGCTTTCCATTGTCCCCAGTACCGCTCTTTTGTATGCTGCTTAAAAGAACAATAACCAAACGCGTAGTGGCTTGGGTAGGGTTAGTGCAACCGAAATGTACCGTTCCACTGGGCAAGTGGAATTTTCCGAAATTTCAGACCGGAATTATTTTTGCTGAATGGAAAGCGCCACAGAACTTTCGCTAAAACGCGCTCGTGTTGTGTGGAGGAACCTAACAGTCTTTGACGGTCGGTATGGTAATAGGTTTCATCGAAGTAAACATAACCTGTAGTTCGTGTTTGTTAAGTTTTTCAACAACCTTGCGATTAAGACATGGACCAGCCTGCAGACTTTGCTAGGGCATGTTTACAAGGAGAGAGGGTTACCCTTGAGCAAGGGTTACCCAAGCAAGTCAGTGTTCTCCCTAGGTATTTAAGGCTAGGCGGACTGCCTGGCTTAATTCACTGGAAAATTGTTGCCGCCTGTCTTTAATACTAAAGATTAAACCGAACGGAAGCTAACGTTGACTACAAAGCAAGGTATTTCAAAGGCAAAATCACCCAATAAAGTTGATGAAACATTGTCTGGTGTATTTATTTCTGTGTTTTCTCGCAAGTTATTGATTAGAAAATATGAATATGTTCAAACCTATGATGCATTCGTTTCATTGAACGGCAGCCATCTTGAAAAACACAAGGGACATTCAAGGAGCTTATGTATATGATCGAAGCACTAGAGGAATCCTTGCGCTCAACAAGGAATCCTTGGGCCTTCCCAAAATCCTAGGGAGAACACTGCAAGTGGGTTAAGGTTAGCTCTGGTTTACAAGCAAATTTCGCAGGTAGGGTTACCCTATCATCCGGGTCAACTTTACCAGCTTTACTTACGCGTCTCGTCACGCGTGACATTCTTTGTAACGTCCAAGATTTGAAATAAAACTTGGGGCCTGTTTACATGGAGGTGGGGGACCCCAGACAGGTGAGGCAACATGTAGCGGGTCACCCCACCTATCATGTAAACATGATCAAATTAAAATGAAACATTATATTGACGGGCGTGTTACCTCATCTACGTGGGGCCCCCACCTCCATGGAAACAGGCCCTGGAAGTTCTCTATGTAAACAGGTTAAATTCACGAAAAAAACGTGAAATGTCGTATGCAGAAAATACCCTTATATTGTTCAGATGTTTATAATTTAGCTACGAAATTGGATAATTCCGTTCAAATTGTCAAGATTTACTGGTCACGCATGACGGAGGAAAGTTGTCCCGGAAAGGCGATCAAGTTATCCCTAGCAGAGTGTTTACAAGCCAGGTAGGGCTCTTACTAAGGTAACCCTAGTACTCAGGTAGGGTTACCCTGGCGCTAGGATAACCCAAAATTGGGTAACCCTACCTGCCTGGTAAACACGTTGTGTAAAACAAGAAGAAATGTGCGAGTGCTAGGGTTACCCTGCCTCCTTGTAAACAGGGCCATTAGACTTGTGGCTGTTTCTGCTGCTCTCGCGCTCCTTTCACCAGTAAAGGCGGCCGCTACAGACCAGCTTAAGTGATTTATCCAGGAGATCTCGTTAATCACCCTTTCAAAACAATTAAGAACCAGCTCATGTAGAATTCAGTCTGAGGGAACAGAATAGGCGCATAAAAATCTACCACAATTTAATTTGTTAATAGGGTCTTTCAGAGTATGTTAAAGAGACTAATAGCTGGTCTTTGTCGCTTAGTGTGTGGATGGTGACCTTCAAGGGCCCACTTAAGTCAGTACAGGGCAGCAGTCCCTAGGCAGTAAATTCAGGCTCTGGCAACCACAACCAGTGTTCACAAGCTGGAAATATGACAGCAACAACGAAAATCAGCTCTCACCTTTTTACCTGTAAAATCATGAACATATATCCAGGTATTGTGGTCAGTAGTTGTAGACAAATAGTAGTGGGTTACACAGCTTGAATCAATGTCGATTCCTTGTGTGGCAACGGCTGTCAAAAGAAAATTGCTCTGAAAGTCTACTTCCAAATACTGTGGCTGCTCTGCCAAACTGCTACGTGCACACCAGCCACCACCACCAATGTTCAGGTGTAGCCGTGCATTACTGGGATGATAGGCTGGACTCTCTATGGATGTTGCACTGATGGCACTATCTGGAATTGTTTTCGCTTCCATACCTAACGGATCGTCCAAACCTGACAAGAATTAAAACGTCAAAACCCAAGAAATTGAAGTGAATAATGCAAGTGTAATACCTCTAATTTGCTAAGCCTTTTCCTCAGTTTTTACATTAAGTTTTTACCTTCATTCGAAATGTTTCCACCTTAGTTCAAAAACTACTGCCGGCCACTAAGTCATGTTCCTTAAGTTATACTTCGCGTTCTTTGCACTGGATAATTTAGAGATGTAAATAGGCGCGAGACCATGAGCGCTTACCATTTGCACGGGAATTTCGGTGGAAAATTTCCGTCAAATAGTAACGACTGTTTTTTTTTTTAGCACCGAAAACAGGAACGAGATTGAGTTGAACCATTTACCAAATGCCGGTAAAGTTTTCACTTTCTCTGGACATGAAGCCTGGCACTAGTAATCCAAACAAATGGTATAGAAAATTTCGGTCGTTTCGGTAAAAACGGGAAAAAGGTAATATCTCGAAAGGTATACCTTTTTTTCCGGAAAATTTCCACTGGGATGAACCGTTCCATTTGAATTCTCCCCGGAATTTCCGGGTTTTCCATACAAATGGTAAGCGCTCCATGCTTTGCTTTATACATCATAGAGGCTACGTCCTGTAAATGTCTATTACATAGTCGGTAGCCGGGCGCGGTCAAGCAACTCTTGATACGATGCTGAGCTGTTGCTGTATACTGCTCTTAGCGCTCTCTCCTGTATCCGCTCGACCTTTCTTCGATCTGATTCGGATTTACAAAAGTGCCAAACTAAGTGAGGCCCGTTTCAAACGTTGTGCTACTGCTGTGCCGAACTCAATTGATCGAATTAAATTCGACTTAAGCACCGCAATAGCGCGACGTTTGAAACCAAGTCGTGCTACTGCCGTGTAGTACGGCAAGCCGAACGTCGTGCTGCCGCCGTGCCGAACTCAATTCATAAATTATAAATACATTAGAATGTATTTAAAAGTTTGCTAAACCGTTTCTTTATTTTTGTGTTTTGTTTTTGGCAACAGCCGTTCCACTCGACTGTCATTGTGTGAATTAAATTTGACGTCTGAAACCAAGTCGTGCTAGTGTCGTGCTGCAGTCGAGCCAGCTTAGCACGGCAGTAGCACGACGTTTGAAACAGGCCTGACAGTATTATGTTAGATGGGGTTGGATTGATGACTTATTTATAATGATAGTTTAGCATTACAAGATATTTCAAAGTTTCGTAACCGCACAAGGACCCCTACCTTTTTAACTGGCCTTGGTACATAATTCGCTTATTATGTGACTAGTAAAATTCAAATTATTGTCTTTTCTTAGTTTTCAAGTGACGTCACAACAATCCAATTTCCCAAGTTTTAACTCCGCGTGACATTAACATGGTGACCGACAAGGCCGGCACATCCGCAAAAAAATAATTTTATCCCATGATATTATTCCCTTTGAATGGTGAAAGTATTAGAAAATGTCTTTGGGGGAATAATTTGCTCGTTCGCAGTGATCAAATTTGTTGCGATACTGAAACCAGATGTTTGCCTTATTGCCGGCCGGGAGGAGCACAAATATGGCGTCCCCAAATTTCTGTTACACATGTTGAAGAACAACTCAGCAGCGGAAAACTGCACAGACGCGAGACTCAGCCAGGTTGTTAATTTATCGATATTCTATAATATCTGAAATTCTTGGTTTCAGGCATATTCCACAGATATATCTTTGTCATCCTTTTCCGTGTCTATATTCCTGAATTGGGTTGATGATTAGTAGCTTAAACGTTTCCGGGTTGGCCGATAGGAAGTTCTTGTACCAGTATAGAGCTTGCTCTCCTTGAGGCATGATGCTTTGTGCAGCTAGTATAGGTCATGATCCATACATCTAATGATCGGCAGCGTACATGCTTAAATTTGCGTTTTAACTTGGAAAGAGTATTTTGAAACAAATTTCACAGGAGCGGCCCAAAAGATGAGCAAAACAAAAACGCCTATATTCACAACCTTTCGTTAAAATTATTGTATATTTACCTTTAGCTCTGCAACCATAAACTTCAACTCTCAGAGCAATTTGCTTGATCCAGCTATGTGGACAAAACTTTACGTAACGTGTCAGGAATGGTGCAAAAGAACTCGTTGAGATCACTTCACTGTTGTTTAAATTCCCAACGAACATCTAAAATTGATATAAATGATAACAATATCTTAAACTTCATCTTCAGGCATATATATTGTAAAAATGTTAAATCCGAGACTTCGGTCTTTTTTGGTCTCTTTTGTGGCAACTCCCAATATCACCCACCCCCCCTCCCCCCACTCCCAATAAACAATACGGAACCCAGTCCCTAAATTATGACAGGGTAATGTGTCTCAGGACATTATGTGAAGTCTTGCTTCTCAGTGGCTGTGTATCATTGTCAGTAAAATAAAGAAATAAAAAATTCTTTGTCACTAAAGGGAGTATTATTGGGCATCAGTAATTTCAAATCACCATCAAATGACTTCCCCAATTACCTATGAATACTTGTAAAACACAAGTCCTACCTACCAGTTAGTATTTTTATTATATTGTATATTATTATTATCTCTTTTATCACAGTCTTTGCTTGTGTTCTTTTTGTGCATCAGCCAGGCGCAAACCATGCACCTAGAGCGTCAGTCACTCAAGTCAATCATTCTGTTCATACACTGAGGATTTTTTTTCTTTCTGAAGATTCGCGCAGATCCCAGCATGCAGATCTTTTGAATCTCGGTCATAGTAGCTCTCTCTGATACTTTCTTAATGTTTTCTACCATAACCACAAGGATTATTATTATTATTATTATTATTATTATTATGTCAATAACAATAATGCAGGAATCTAAGTATTTGAATATGATCGTTAATGTAAGTACAAAGTTCTTGCAAAATTAACTTTTGGTGAAATCACAATGTGGAAGTCTGACTGCATGAACTTTCTTAAACATGCTTTTAAAATTAAATATGGCAATAACAAATATCTGATTAAAGGTTGTTTGCATGACTGGTTGATTTCATCCATTTTTCTTTACCACGCATCCTTCTCACTCATTATGTTTTTGTTGGTATTGATTGATTATGGGCTATGTAGTTAAATTTCATTGGCTAATAACATTTGCTACTTGATTTTCATTGGCCGTTGAGCTGTCAGATTACATAGCTTCTGGTAATTGGACAGGTCAAATCAGACAGTTTTGGTGTTTCAAATAGGAAAATTAAGCAACAAATATGCTTTGTTAAGAACCAATCAGATTCTATCAAGCAATATTTCATTGACATAATTACCTATGTTTCAAAACTTGACAAGAACTCATGATACAAAATCCCTTTTTAGTATGACTGAAAGACAGCTGTCAAACAACCTTGAACTTCACTAATATAGAAGCTAGAACACAATTAATTGTCCTCACTGTTACCTAACTCTTATTGTCAATGTAGTTATAATTAAAAGAGAGCTTTCTTGTTGGTATAGCAGTTATTGCCTCATATATACCCCTAAATGTAAGGTTAATACATCCAACAGCAAAAATTATAAATGAACTGCTTACACAAGGTCTCTTTTTTCTGAAGTTCTCTTTGTTGATGGCCAACAAATAACTCAAAAAATAAGTCACATTCTCCATTATGCAAGAACAATATATTTTTTTTAGTCTTTGGAGCCTAAATAACCAATGGCATCCTATCTTACATCTTGAAGTGATTACCTCAAGGTCGCAACAGTGAAACCTACTTATATTAATAACAAAAAGCAAATTACAAGCTATCATACCCGTGGGTTTTCTTTTTCAAGTATTGGATACCAAATGGTGTCATCTTTACTATAGTAAAGGAAGTATGAAGTCACCCTCGCTCCCATCGTTGTGGTGTCACCAGAGCCTTGGATGGCAGACTTCCGAACTACAACTAAGCTTCCAAGATCTACCTTTAAGTACTGTAATTTATCATGAACAGAAGGTATCCACCAGTTGACTGCTTTCAAACGAGCCCAGTAAGGTGCATTGTGAGCCTGGAAGGTTGATGCTGTCATGGCACTTAAAGGTATTGCATTCTTGACCAATATACCAACCATTCCTTGAAGGCACTCTATCACAAAGCCACAAAATTTTGATCAGAGCAAATATTAAACCTGTGTGACAATGACTATCAAACAACATCCAAATAAGCAGTAATGATCAGATTTCAATACTATGGGAATTTTACTGGCAAAGACCAGAAAAATACAGACATCATCAAGTTTGATAGCAGAATAAAACATTGAAGTTATCTCAATTGCAAAAAGGATTTGCAAAAAAAAAAGATTAGGCTTGTATAAGCATAAGTTCTTACGCTAAAATGGCGTGGCGATAGTCGTTCATGGTACTGTAACTCATCTTAGAAAAGGCTTAATTAATAAAGCCCCGACGACGCCGTTTGACCTTGTACGTTTTTTATATAGGTGACTTTCTCACATAGCCTTACAACTTGGCTTATTCTTAAGATTCAAACCAAAACTTGAGCAAGAGTATAAGCTTAATGCCAGTCCAAATTAATTAAGAAAAAAGGCAAATTAAGCTTTATACTTTCTTCTATGAGCTTACATGTCAGCTTAAGCTTAATTCATTTTTCCGTCTTTGCTTCGAAAGGAATAAAAAAAACTGTCATATAATCTACAGTACTGTAAAACGTTTCATCCATTTTGTTTTGGAACACTGAAAATAAGTTTAAGCTTGAGTAAACTGTTTAATTTTTTACTATAAAAATTCATCGCTAGGTTAAAACTTACTCGAGTCGTCCATCTTGTCTTCCTTCAAAATCACATTTTTCCCATGTAGAGGATCTCTAAATTTGGCCATAATGTCAAATCCATGCGTACCAAAGGTAATCAACGCCACAGATAATATAGCAATGGCGATTTCAGCCATGTTTCGCCATTTCCCAGCCATTTCCAGCCATTGTTACTGTTAGCAGAGTGAAGCGTTAGAAGAAGGACCTGGGTACTAGCGACCTCGTCCCCAGGGTCTTCTCGTTTTCAAGGTTGTAAAACATGTTTACACCATACAGTATATTTGTGCAAGACTATTAAGCCCTCCTTAGCTAAATCTCAGCAATTAGCAAAGCACTTCAGTTGCGGGACTCGTGAAAGAAGCAATGAGGCAATGACAACACTTAGGGGGCGGAATAAGCTCCCCAAAGTTTTTATAAGATAGATTCTTAGAATTGACTGTGTTCAACTATAAAACGACTTCTGTATAAATTAATACTTTCATAGAATAAATCGTGAGTCTGGTGATTTGAAAAGGAGTGAATTCTTTTTTTAGGGATTTCTCGGACACAATTCAATCACCTGACTCACCTCGCCCTCGCAACACACTATGCACTTAGTCAGTGGAAAGCCCCGCACCCCAATACCCGGGGAATATTGGGGCATTAGACCGGGCCTACCTTCTAATGATGAGTGGGGACACTAAAATATGTTAACAAGAATAAATTAAAAAATTAATTAATTAATTAATTAAAGATGAAAAACGTCAAATCATTTTGGATGTTCCAAATGAGAGGTCCAAATACAGAGCACTGTGGGCATCCCCCGGTCACCTTCTTCCACTAATTCACTACAGATCCTAGCTTATCCTAGCTCAGCTTATAGAAAACAGCATAGCTGTGAGTCCACGTTAATCGGCTTCGTTGAAGACTGGAGGAAATCCCTCGACATTAAGGAGAAGGTTTACTTGTTAGCAATGGACATGAGTAAACCTTTTGACTCCCTTCACCACTGAAGGGAGTCAAACTCAATACGTGTGGCTTCAGCGACACTGGTTCTCTGGATTTAAGGTGGCCCGAACCTATTTATATGCGTGTTGGTTATGTTTTTGATTTGCGTTTTTCAGAATGAAAGATTCAACCGATTTCTATGATTTTTGGCATACCGAATACATAATGATAGAACTTTAAGAAAATGTTATTTGTTTTCTTGT